TACCAAATCAGTATAACCTATTGGCTGCATCTATAACGTGAAACTTCTTTAGAACTAGATAGATTTCTAAAATAGAGGGAAGCTAAATTTACAAAGAAACCTCTTTTCTAACTTACCTAATAATAGACATAATGAATGAAAATGGACATCGAGAAAACTCAAAATAAATTACCAAACTAGTATGATCTAGTTGGCCATATTTGTAACATGAAACTTCTTTAAGACTAGTGTCAACAAAATTGGCAAAACACAAATGATCAAAACTCTTGCAGATGTAACATTATATTTCATATTTGAAAATAAAAAATAACAATGTTGTATGGTTATATTGATCATTTTAAAATATAATTAAAGAAATAAAAAGGTATAAGTTAAAAATAAAGAAACTAGCACAAAAAAAGACTTTAAGATCATCATGTGAACAATCATTAAAAAAGATAAAATTTTAGGGATTTAGATTATAATTTTCACATTTTTAGTGCTAATGAGTGCTTGTAATGCCAGGTCGGATGACGGTGGCATTTAACTTAGCCACCTTAACGGCAATTTAACATTTTCAGTTAATATTAACTGTAGGTGACTAACGGTTGGACAAGTTAAGACGTTAGGTGATCATTTTGTTAGGTTTAGAAGTTGAGTGACGAAAACATTGATTTTAATAAAGTTAGGTGACCACCCATGAGAATCACCCTATTTTATTACAAGTGAGGTTAGATTGGAGGGGAGGGGGAGTTGAACTTTCAACCTGGTACCTAGCGGTGATTACAAGGTGAGGCTGATGTGCTATTAACAGTTGAGCTACTTTAGTCTGGAGTAGCCCTGGGCATTTGAAATCGGAACCGACGGATTACTCGAAAATTAAACTGAAAAAATAAATTTGGTTCGGTTTAAATGATTTTTGGTTTTTATTGTTTTGATTTTTATATTAATTGAATAATTTTGGTTCGGTTTTGGTTAAATTTTTTAAAAATTAAAAACCAAAAATAAAACCGAAATTAGGATAAAATAGATAAAATATAATAAAATATGATAAAATATAA